GACAAAGTCTACTGCTGAGGGGAGCAGTGGGCGGTCAGGAGAGTTCTGCTGCGCCATGTGGATCTCCTCCGGGGCAGGTGGGGATCGAACTCATGCGGAAGTGGCTTAAGCTTCTTTGTGCTGTGCTTTAACCCGCTGCGCCACCAGGGAGGGCCAGGACTAGTATATTTTACTGACCCATGTGACCAGAGAGACATGGCTGGGAGATGGGATTCTACTTGTTACCCAGGTCACAGACCTAGTTGTGATCATTACCGTCAACTACGTACCTAGTGTCTAGGTACATAATCCAAAAGAAGACTAACCCTTACCTATGGCTGAGGTGGGGCAACACCCTCATCAATTTTCTCAATCTACTTATTTCACAGCAAAAAGTTTTGGAAACCTTTCAAAAAGTTAACATTTGTTTACTTGAAAGATGAGGGCATATTTGAGCATAAGATATACCTGTCATTTATTAACATAACCTATTAACAAAATCCTGGGTTTTCTCCAGTGGGGCCACTGGGACCAGCGCAAGACATGGCTCCATCCATGGGGTCTGAGAAGGGATTATTTCAAATGTAATTTCCGCCAGAATAAGAAGTTCAAAAGTCTCATTGCACAAAGGCTAATAAAAATATTGTCTGAAACAGATGCTGAAGTGGTAGAACAGGGAAGAGAACAGCACAAACCACAGGGTGAGACTAGGTGTGTCAGAAAGAAGCACAGGGTGAAAGGATACTGTTCGTATATGAAGGAAATGGGGATGGTCAGGACGGTCTTTTCCTGCCTCTGCAAGAAAAAACATTTGAAAAAGAAGATAAAAGACAAGTAGACTTCTGCAAAGTACACACACAATGGTCACCAAACACTTGAGAAGACACTCGGGTCAGAATAGACTAGGAAAAGCCTTGGAGGAATAAGGAAGGCTCCACAGGTAACGGTAACAAATCCCAACAGGGATGAGTCAAACACCGCAGGACTGGGGCAACAGGACATTCTGGAACAAGGATGGTAAAGAAAAGACACTCTAATGTGAAGGCTGGGACACAAGATGTAATTCTGGGCACAGGACAGCAAGGCAGAGTGAGTAAGACTTCGGAGAATTAACCCATCACAAACAGACGCGGGGCCTTAAAATAATCAGGGAAAGAAGGTCTGTATCCCCTGAGCAGCACCTGCTTGGCTTCCGTGCCCTTCCCTGGCCTGGTTACCCAGCCTGGCCTGGTAATAAGTTTCTTGGGGCTCTCACTGGTGGCACACCAGGCTAAAGCACAGAACTATGAAGCTCTCCACAGTCACTGCAGCACGAGTTTGATCCCCCAGCAGGGAGCTGACCCACATGGCGCAGCAGACCTCTCCTGTCTGACCTGCTGCGCCCCTCCGCAGTGTAATTCAGTGGATCTGCCTGTTCTGCTCCCTCACACACACCTCTAGCCTGTACCCCAGTTCTTTTATGTATAAATAAATCTTTTTTAAAAAAGCTTAAACTTTTTCTTTCTCTACACAAATCCTCTTCTCACTTGCTTGCTTGAGGGTTAGTGAAATTCCTGCTGTGGCTTCATGAGACACCAAATGTGGCTGTCTGGTGGCTGGGACTCTGTGTTGTTATTGCAGCCTGGGATCCATTCCTGGCTGGGAGACTTGACCTGAAAACTTAAAAGTTACAATATCAACATCACTAGTCATTATAGAAATACAAATTAAAAACTATAATCACAACCCCCTTCACCTACAGGGTTAAAATGAACATTTTAAGTAAGAAGTATTCTAAATAATCCTGTAAAAATGAAAAATGAAACAGTCTATGCAAAATATCTGGCATTTCTTAAAAATCCATCCACTGGTGTGGAGTTCCAAGTATCTCTGAAGGAGCCCAAACATTATTAAGAGGCATTGTAACAGGCTGGTCCCCAGGAAAAGGGGAGGTTCCAGGTTCCCTGCCCCACCCAGAGGAGGGCAGAGCCGAGCAGGGAGGAGAATCTGGCAAGGAGACTGAGGAAGAAGAAAGCAGTATGTTCTTTGCTTTTCTGTATTGCACACTAACTGCATTCAAGTTGCTTCCCATTAAAGGTCTGAAATGTTTTGCCTTAGAGCAGCAGATGGCAGAACCTATTTAGAGAGGAGAGATTTGGGGGTTCAGGACTGCCCTTCTCTCTGCCCTGTAACAGCATCATGTAAAGATTTTGTTAGTAGACATTATGTGTTGAGGGTTGCGGATGATCCAGGATGTGGTGGAAATAGGAGTTTTAAAATTCCAAATTTCTTACTCCATCTGATGGAGGAAGTAATAGTAAGGAGGTGTCACAGGATTGACACACTCACACAAAGGGTTGGGGATAGAAGGAATATAGCCATTGGCGGGCTACAGAAACCCAGATCCTTAGGCACCATCGCCCAGATCACAAAGCATAAGGTCCAAGCAGGTTGCAGACTGCTGTAGGTGGTGTCTGTCACAGACCCCAAAGGTAAAAGATAAAGATGGAGGTTGAGCCCATTGTGGGATCTCTTGTCCCTTTCAGATTCTATTCAAAATCAACAAACCTAGGTTCACAAGGGGTGAGCCCCTCCTGAAGAGATGTCTCCACCCTTGCAGTGTCTGCCCTGGCCCAGGGCGGCAGTCCTGTCCAGCCTGGACTATGCAGGTGCTTCTTCCCACCCACACTCTCCCTCCGCGGGGCAGCAGCCTCCGGCCTGCCTCTGGCCTGTACCTGTAGGGACTTCTCTTCACTGACCTCCCTCAGTGGAGGCCGCTCTCCTAGTGACACAGTAGATGGGCTCTCAGGTAAGCATCGGCCAATTTGCCTCCTTTGTGATGAGGAACTGGTTTTCCCAGAGCTCTCAATGACTCTGGGTTTACTTTTCCCCCTCCTTTCCTTGCAGTTTCTCTTCTCCTGACAGGTTTAGGCTCCAGGAAAGGCACCCCAAACAAAAGCAAATAGTGAGAAAGCTCCTGGGCACCACTCCGCTTCCTCCCCGTGCTGCCCCGCCCCCCATTACTCTTGCTGATCCCCCGTTTTTGTTTCTCTTTGCTTATATAAAGGCTGGTGCCCACCTGTCTCCATCCCAGCACTATATTTTACTCCCTCCCCGTTGCAGACTCTCACCCACCACCCCTCTTTCTTTGTTGAACCTTGTATAAATAGCCCTGGAACTTACCAAGGAGCAGGACAGTGGTCTTTCGGACATGAGTCTGCCGCCCTCCTCATTGGTCGACAAATAAAACCACTTTCCCTTTCCTCAACTTCTGATTCCTTTTTCCGGCTGAGGGAATCTGAGACCAGCGTTGGGTAACACTAAGGCCGCCCACCTGCGACCATGCAGGCCTCTCTCGGCAACCCTGTCCCTTTGGGGCAGCTCTGCCTGCCCGCTTGTGTCTCTGCGAGTGTCTTTTACTTTCTGCCCTCTTTCTAGCAAACCTGCTCTTTAAATATAACTAACGTTCTGTGTCCTACAGAAAGTCGCCTGGTGCCACTGAAAGGGGAGTGCTTGTGAAAGCTCTCCCAGCGTGAACCCCAAGGACCCCACACCCCAAATCCACTAACTGCCAAAACGACATAGGAGTGCAGAGGACCAGGAAGAACCAAAACACTCCGGACAGGGGAGCTGGCGGCATCTTGTTCCTTGACTTCAAGTTGTTAAGTGGACAAATACTCGAGTAAATTTAAGGGTTTATTAGATAACTAAAGCGAGGATCGGAACCCAGGAGAGAGCCTGACAGATTTTACTCCAAAAAACCAAGGTCTGAATTTAATTTCTTTGCAACAGCAAGAATGAGTGAGTCTCGGGCACTGAGAAGTCGCGGTTCTGCGGGGCAGCGCTGCCTACCCCAGCTCCTCCCGACCTAAACATATGCTGATGCTGGTGATTTAATCTCCTCGTTTCTAAAGAACGCCCCGCGGAGAGACAAAGGCTGAGCGCCCGGGG